CTTTAAGTTTAAGTTCTAAAATACCAGATCATCTCTTAGCAGGTTAAAAGATGTTCCACACTTATTGTTTAATGTTAAAAAAATGAGCATGAAATATCTTTTAAATCCTCTGCGATCAAATTTTGCCCTGACCTGAAAATCCATACAGTTTTAGCAATTTAACAGCAGAGGGGTTATTATCATTCAGCCTGAAACAGTGGTGTACAGATTATACTGCACCATTGAGAAACCTGGGGAATAGAAAAGGGATGAATTGAACTAGGGTAGCATGGTGGTGCAGTGGTTAACACCACAGCAAAAAGGTCCTGGTTTGAATCCACCATCTGGCTGAGTCCTTTCTGTGTGGAGTTTGTATGTTTTCCTCATGTCTGCATGGGTTCCCTCCAGGTGCTCTAGATTCCTCCCACAGTCCAAAGACATGGAGTTAGTTGGGTTAGGTTAACTGGTGACTCTACATTGCCCATAGCTGCAAATGTAAGTGCAAATGGCTTTCTGTCTCCGTCTACAACACACTAGTGACCTGTTCAGGGTGTTGGATAGGGGGGTTACAAAGAGAAGCCTCTTCTCTCAAAAAAGAACATCTCAGCACAGCACAGGTTTGTAAAACCAGATCTGAACAAACAACCAGATTTTTGGAACAATGTCCTTTGGACAAATAAGAATAAAGTAGAGATGTTTGACCATGATGGACAGCACTATGTCTGGGGATATCAAAACACAGCATATGAGAACAAACAGCTCGTACCTATTGTCGAGCTGTTTGTTATTGCTGCTAACTGTGGTTCTACAAGCTGCTGACTAAAAGGATCTGATTAGTTTTTTCTGCTTCTGCATTTTCACTTAGCTTTTGTTGAATAAAAAAAACATTGCAATAAAATATGTGTTGCTGTTCACCTGAGGTATTTAAATTAGTTTGGGACCTGCTAAGGACCAGATTATTAAAAAAAAAGAGAAGTCCTGGTATGTAAAACCTTGGAATTGAAATAGGGTGCACTTTCTTATTTTCATCACTATAAAAGGCTTATACATTTGCAGCATCGCGCCAGTGAGCGAAAACACAAAACAAAGCCCCAGTTCCAGTTAGGGGATACAGTCTCATTCACCTTCCGAAGCTAGGTAGCTTTCAGAGGAAAACCTCTCAGGTTAAAGTGAAAAACGTCCTTGAAGCAAACAAAAACACCTGTGAAACTAAAGAGACCAATTGGAAGGCACAGGCCTCCATGGTGTAGTTGTCTGATGCTCAGCCTGTGTGCGCCTGTGTCAGAGGATGACTGAGCTCTGTAGTGCCTTTCATGTCATGGACATCACATGGGGCACAGCCAGGGGGAAACTAGTGCAGTGACAGGAAGCAGTGGTTGGCTACTGCATGCCAAAAAGCTGCTTTCTCATTGGCTGACTTTGCCTTCAGGTAATTTTGTCACACTCGGTTAGTTTTTGATGAAATGCCCCGTTCCTTTGATGTGGGGTGCAAGTGTGCATGCACATGGACACTACCCTGTGCATGCACACACAGTCCTTTTCTACTACTTACCCATGGAAAGCTTTTTTTCTCCTTCATTTTTAATGTACACGTATTGGTTATACCAACAATTAAAATAATATAAGAAAGAAGCTGGTGTATGTCATACAGATGCAACAAGGAAACTCAGCATGTCTCTGTATTTATGCGCCCTCTCTTTTCTACCGGTACACACTCATGCAGATATAGTCAGGTCCACACAACCATATTAGACAAAATTCACACATCTAACCTCTTCTTGCAGTTCAAGGTGCTTTACTCTCCAGACTAAAGGTGAATATAAATTTTAATTTCCAAATTTCATTAAATTCCTATCAAACCTGAAGCCTCCTGATCTTTTGTCTTTCATTGTCTCAGAACTCTTGGCTGTATTAGCAAGCAAGGTGTGGCTATACATGGATATATACAGTTGTGTGGGGTGAAGACGTCCAACATAAAGCCCTTTTCTTCACTAGACAAATGTCAAACTTCATATCCCTATTAAGCACCGGGTGGGGGGATTAATTAGGCATATTACCGTGATCACGACTGCATTGTAATGCAGTGTAGTATTCTGATAATATCTTATTGTGGGGTGTGGGGTGATTTCAACTTCTACTAAGCACTGAGTGCAAATATAGCTGGTGTTTGACAAGAACCTGTTCATATGCATGTGGTAAGAAACTGTGCCTCCAAGCTGCTTAGCGAAGGTTTCTGGTTAAAACTAACTATTTACAGAAAGCACAAACATTATAAGTCTTGCTAGAGCTTGAAGGAAGGGTTAAAGATATCGGTGAAGACTGAGAGAGAGAGGGAGAGACAGAGAAATGGAGGGTGGAGGTGTAGGGTAGAATAAAAAAGTCAAATAAGGAGGTGGTGTGCGTAAGAGGCAGGATTCATGCTCACTGTAGCCCAGAGATGAGGCGTCTTTATCAGGCACAGAAGCGGCTTCACAGACCCCTCAGTGCAGAATAGAGATTGAGAGGTCTGGGGCTGTGTGTGTTCACACATGTGCATGTATGTGTGTACACACACACACACACACACACACCAGCAAAGATAAGCTTCAATAGCATCCAGTCTAACACACCTCCACACACCTTTTCCTGAGCCTGCTTCCATCACTTTTCCTTCTCTCCTTTCCTTTTTGGTGATCAAATGCATTGAACTATCTCAACGTCTGATCTTATCTCCTCTGATTTCCTGCTTCTCATCATTTCATTCCAGAAGCTTTGCCCGTCTACTCCCAGAACCTCCACCAAAACACCGCTCCCCCACATCCCCCCCTGTATCCATCGCTCTCCCTTTCTGTCTCTCCCTTAAACGCACGTGTCTTTGATGAGAATCCATTCATGGATTTAATGGATTTCTCTTGCCTCTTTTTTTTCTTTTTTCAGAATCTGGGAGATGGGTTAAAAAAAAAATATAAATATATATATAAAAAAAGAGGGAAAGCTGGCCTGCTCAGCCTCTGCTTCCAAGAGCATGGTGGACTGCAGAGGACAGCATTTCTGTCTGCATCAAAAGAATGAGAAATTTTCAGCTTACAAAACAGGGCGAACGAGTCAATATGGATCTGAGGTCTGGCTGACTTCAATTGCATGTGGGAAAAAAAGAAACAGGGTGTAAGAAATAGTAAAAGTTTTCCCTGCCCACTGCAAAGTCAAACTTGGAGACAGATAAGAAAGTACAAAAAAAAAAAAAGGGAAAGTAAGATGTTGAACCTTTGGTGAATCTTTTTTTGAAGAATCAACGTTGAGCTGACAAAAAGGATGGAGAAATCATTAATCTCTTCATGAAAGTGAAACTAGCGCATTGCTGATAGTGTTATCTGTCTGAGTTCAACGCAGCTTTGAATCCACTCCAGACTGCCCAGCAACTGTGGGTCATTTTTTTTCTTGCGTACATAAAAGACCAAAGACACACAGAGGAATTAAAGCGGGGCCTAAAAGATAAAACAACTTTTAGCTGAAAAACAGCCTTTGCATATCCAAAAGGGACTGACAGTAAATAGCGTGAGTTCTTCAAATAAAGATTACGCTGTCGTAAGCACACTCTCTTTCTCGGGTCTTTCTCGCTTCAGAATTACTGATTCTGTTCGCCATATGGAGCCAAAATGGCCGCCTGGGTGCTTCGGAGGTCCCTGCATTCCGGGCCTAATGCTGCACAGCTGGTGTGGGATGGTGTTTAATGAAAAATGCTCTCTTTGATGGGCCCTGCAGTAAGGATTAGTTTATGATCAACACCACCTTAGGTCAGCTTCCTGCTAGGCAAGCACAAGATTATGAGCGATTTCGCAACCGTGGGTCCAGCTTCTAAGGCGGCGAACGAACGAATATGACAGAGAGAAAGTAAAAAAGCACAAAAGCAAGAAAAGAAGATGGATAGTTGATGGAAGATTTCATTGAAGTACTTCCTGGTGCGTTAGGAATAGTAAAAAGCAATGCTGAACAATGGCTCTATTGAAATGCTGCGGTTTTCTCTCTACAACTGACCTTGCACATTTCAAAACAGTATATTCCACGATGATAAGTGGGTTACCCCAAAGACCCAAAAGTACAAATAGTTTTGATTTTGACAGCACTTATTGCCCAACTTTTTGTTTAGGCATATTCGGTTGATTTGATTGAGCAGTTCAGGGAAATCTGTCCTTAGGGTCAGATAACATTGGCCCATTTGTATTCTTAGCCAAATGCTCCGACATTTAAAACAGTTTCCCAGACTCGCTGCAGCCACAAACGTTCTGGACATTACCTGACCAAATGTAAGCAGTCAGGACTGGACACTGAGCAGTTTTTAACATGCCAGCTTTCTAGTTCGAAGTCTGATGTCCGAGTGAGCCTGTGACAACAGATCGAGAATTCACAGAAAGGGAGTGGACGCCGCGTGTCCCGCCTCCTGCGCATTTTGCCCATGCAGTACTCTCACCTCAACCAAACTGCTCTGCAGCAATGAGAACGTGCTTGGAGTGAATGTCGCCCATTATGAAAGGGCAACTTCGTGCAATGTTCAGACTAAATACCCAGGGTTGTTGGATAAAATCTCCTAATAGCAGGAGATGAGGTGCCTACCAAAGATTTTAAAGACTTCGTTGTTACACCAGAAACTTTGCTAGAGCAACAAATCAGGTTCAGTAGATCTAACAGCTGATGTGAAAATGAGAATAACTGTTTTTAACACTCAGCCTCCAAAACAAAGCTTCTGCATCCCATCTTTCTTGACTTCAGGTACTGTTTTTAAGCACAAGGCTTCTATGAAACCCCCTCTCTTTTATACAGGTATACAACCTCTTCAGTTCATCCTCTTTTTCTCAAATTCACTGTTTAAATTATTCGAGATGTTCTGTTGCTGCTTTTGATGTTTTCCCAGGTTGTTTTCTTCTTTGACTTTTGGAAAACATGCAGATTCCCCACACCTCCTTAACCTTTACTACTCCAGGCATTCCAGTATTCATTCACCCAGTCAAAACAGAGTTAAAAACCCATATCTTATACTTTCTCACCTTCTCATGTGCAGCATCCTTCTCCTGCTGGTGGTTTCTCTCGAGCCGGTCCAGGGATGCCTGCTTGTCCAGGGTTGCTCTTTGCTTTTCCTCCTCCTGGAGCAACGCCATCTCGGCCAGCTGCTGCTTATGCTGGGCATGGGCCTTCTTGAGGTCCTCACGTAGCTCTGACAACTGGGCCTCCAAATCTGCAATTGTCTGGACAGAGATAAAAAGAAACCTGCTGAATTAAGTAAATTAAAATTAATGTCCAGTTATTTTTTCCCTCTATGTGTAGAAGGCCTTCTGCTCAGGCTCACACTGCATTTTGCAAAGGTGATTACTTTCAGATTTGCTGAGGTCATTATTTGAAGCTTTGGCCATGTTCAATATGAGCGTCCCACCATTGTAACACTAAGTACATCACAAAAAAATAAAAAGTCCACATTTTAAGTACAGGTTTCTTGTATTTCTGTTTACTGAGAATTGCATATTGAGGGTTTTTTACCATCTGTGTTGTCATGGTCCTGGATCTTAGACCCAGGGTTTAGAATTTTTGTGGGTTCATGACTGCTTTTGGTTTTGGGAATGAATTGTGTTTGAGTTTTATTGTTTGTTTCTTTTGTAACACCGGCTGTACTGTTGATACTTTTGCTTGATGTCATTTATATCTTCCAACAGAGCGTGTGCGTCTTGGTGAGGCAGTTTTTAGTGAGTTCCCCTTTGTGCTCCATTCTGTTCCAGTCAGTGTTTTTCTCCTTCAGTGTCAAATTCAATTCAATTTTATTTCACAACAACAGCTGCATCAAGGCACTTTATATTGACTTTGCATTAATGGAGAGAAAACTCCAACCCCAACAATCCGATGGAATCCTGTGAGCAAGGATTTGGCAAAAGGGGGAAGGAAAAAACTCCCTTTTAATAAGAAGAAACCTTCAGCAGAACCAGGCGCACGGAGCCATCCGCCATGCGATGAAGCCCTTAGCCCTCTCTCGACCTCTCTCAGCCTTGACTTTGCTCCGAAGAACGTTTTAATAGCGCTGCCAGTGAGAGTCAACATTACATAGTAAGAATGCTAATAAGTACAACCCTCCACGGCCCATGAAACACCAGAAATAGACTGGTCTGACATGCTGTGAAGCTGCATCTCAAGAGTTTGGGAGATGTCAAAAGGAGAAGATAAGTCTACTGTTTTGTCAAACCTACATCACATATTTGGGATGATGGAGACTATCTGCAAGAAATACGGGTGGGGGACTTTACATTGAAATGCGCCTTATATCCTTACAGCTACTTTAGTTAGCTGTATTCACATACATTCAATACTGTAAACAGCAATGGACAGAAAAAAATAAAACACCTCGCAGGCATATTGTAATCATTTTACACAAATTACAAGCAATGAGCAAAGCGCATTGTAGTTAAGTGTAGGTGGATCTAAGATGAATTGCAGTGTTTCACACTTCCCTACCTGTATTGCATGTATTCCCCAGCTATTGCACATCCTCATTACTCTCCTTGGCTTTTTTCTTTTTACTCCTCTTACTGTGGTTTGCACTGTGCGCTCAGGCTCCTGCCCCCTCCCGCTCCTCAAAAGCCTGGGCATCCCAGGACAACGCCACGTTAAGGCAATCAGACAGAAAGCGTCTGAAGTCTTTTTTAGCGGGCACTGGGGAGACTTCAAAGCAGTGTCACAAAAACAGGCAGATGTTGTGGCTGTGTTTCACTCGCTTCTACATTGGCACGAGCACACACACACACACACACACACACAGATCCATTTGCACACATACAGACACACACACATGCCTACACAGAGAAGCAGCCACACATGGCACACTGTCACACACATAGGTTGCCATGCGGCGCATTCAGAGAGAGAGAATGTGAGGTAAAACAAACAAACGCATGCACTCCTCTGCGTCCCACTCTTCTGTCTCTCAATATTACCAGTCTCACTGCTCCTCTAGTGCCTTCTTCAAGTGCAAGCAGCTATTAGATCTGAGCCCTCAAGAGTCTTTAATGTATAATTCTCTCTTTAACAAATGTTGGGAATGTGTCCTCCAAAAAAAAAATCTTTTAATAAGTTAGAACATAATCTACCAGAACAGAGACATTGGCAATGACACTTCAGGAACTTAAGAGGCCAAAAGTGCATGTTTTCATTGGGTGGAGCGAACACAGTCGCTTCAAGAGGGCACGTGTTAGCAGGCTGATGGGGAGCTCTGTGAAGGAGCAGCTCTTGGTAACAATAGAAGAGTGTCAGATGAAATACTGGGTCAAACCGTGTCAGCTAGGATGACAAAACACTGGCAAAACAACCTCAGGGAGAGTGGTTAAGGACTGAATAAGAGTTCAATCAAGGGAAAATATCACAGTCAAGTGAGGATCAGTCATAAGACTTTATCAACACTTATAAAGATTGTATTAAGATTCTCTAAAATCCTCTACGAGACCACAACTAACTGCTTTTTCTCCTACTCTCCACTAAACTGCACAGTGACAACCCCGCACAGCTAGGATGAGCAGTGATTCTTCTGTGAAGAAAACAAAATGAAATGAAGAAATGCATAATAAACGATGGGTATCTGTGAATATGCTTTATCACGATTTCACAAAACAGAAAACAAAATAATGAGGAAAAACGTGCAATCAGTTCAGTATATCTAACATTAATTGAGTCTCAACAGATTAGCATAATTACTCCGCTGGTATGCCAATTAGGCTCTTTTAGAGACTTTAATGTCAGATGTTAAATATGAAATGAGACTGTAACTGTAACCAGAGCCCGACCCTCATTTAAGTCGGCCGGTATCACAGGACGATAGGGACTCAAAGGTACAGTGCCAGAGTGTGTTAGATGGACCAAAATATGAAATTAAAGAACATAATGCAGAAAGATACAGATGATGCTATCACAGAATCACATAGTCGGTCTAGACCAGTTCTACTCTATAGTTACTGTATACTGTTGTAGCACAATTGGCATTAGAGCTAAGAAAATGATGGAGGAGAGAAATCTGTTTGCCCGTTATCAAGGGACCATGACAAAACCCTTTCAGACACTGTAACTAATAACAGCCGGTACATACTGGTACATACTAGCTTTATGTATTACAGTTACACCTAAATGTAACAGAGCTATAATTATTCTTAGCAGATTCACCTTTATGTTCCTGCAGATTGAACTCGTGAGCTGTGATAACAACGCAGGAAGTTGTTTTCATGATTTCCGAACTCTGAGAATTCAGAAAGTATCCACTTGCAAGGTCGAGAATAGCACAAGAACCACGCTGGAGGCATTTCTAATTAATGCCCTCGTCAACAATGTGAGCACTACCCCGTTTAGAGGCACCGCATCTCGACTCGCATCCTACAAGTGAGGTCTATAGTTTAACATTCTGACTGCAGGCAAAAATATTTATCTCTGTGCATACAGCTGGCAATATCCTATCTTATTCTATTCATGCAATATTAAGTTAACAGTTTCTTTTTTATGATGAATTTCTGTATCCACAGCTTTCTGACAGAATTTCAAAGGCAATTCTTTGGTAATAAAGGTGACAGGGTTGCATAATGTGATGTATAATGCATATTATTTACATATAAACACAAACAGAGTGCGAGAGATTTTTACTGAAACAGAGCTCGATGAAGTTTTGAAATTTTTCAGTGTGACGGTAACAAGTTTTGCCAAAGATGCATGCAGCGATCTCGACAATATATCACGACTATAACAACGCTTTTGGTTCATCGCTCAGAATTCTGGACTCTGGCAGCATGTCGGGGTATGAACATAAATATATGGCCTCCTTCAAGGCGGTTTGGGTTATAAGCGCCGACTGTTCACTTAACATCTAATTTAGTATCTCAGAATTTTGTAGTTGAACAAGATAACTGAAGCTGTTTGTTTCATCAGTGAGCGCTCATAATCTTTCGACTTGCGTAACTCTAAAAAGTGTTGTATGCAAACCCCCCCCAAAAAACTAACCTACAAATATTATAACCAACAGAATAACTCTGCAAAGTATAAAGTCAAGTAGGACACACGCATGCACTGACGTGTGACATTTGACTCTTATAGGCAATTAAAATGTGTAGCTGAATTGTGTAATGAATGATTCGCTGTTGTCAGGCAGATAACGTGTGTGGCTGGAATCCAACATGTGATGTATGCACATAATAAATGGCTTTGGGGTTTGAAAGGGGAGCATGTTTTAACACTCCACACATCACAGAACATCAGCATTCGCTGATGACTTGAGGCATGATCAATAGCTCCCCAGTGAAAAACAAAAATCAGCTGAGTTCTAACATAAATACTCCCCCATGAGAAAACGTGATGAAATCTGTTGAGAAAAACACAAACACAATGACACCTCAACTCAGGAGGATATTCACGTGCCACTGAAATCAGCGTGTAACAAAGATTTACCTGACAACACCCGGGGACCAATCATTTCATAAATGACAACATGGAAGGATTGAAACAACAAATGAGCCCCCCACCCTCCTTCCACACACACACACACACACACACACACACACTTCTAACTGCACTTTCTTGTTCTCTTGATTTTTTTTACCTTTGACTCAGCCTGTCATCACCCTGTTCATTTGACTCATTTTAATCACGTATTTGGGAATGAAGCGCTTTGAAAAATTGACAGCATCATTATTTAGTCCATTACGGCCCAGAAGAAAGACCCCGCAAGACTCGCGCTCTCTCCCCCATGCTGTTTGAAGTCCAGATGGTGGTACGTTCCTTTATAAAAAAAACACAATTATTCGGGAAAATAATACCCATAAAATGAGTTTTGAGGAGGGGCAGGTGGAAAAAATATGAACGATGGGGTTTTGCATAGAACAAACAATCCTGATGTTTGCAGAGAAGAAAAAAAAGAAGCACACATACAAACACAAACTTCCAATTAATTTATAATGCTGGCCCTAGTTTTTGAAGTCAAACTCTTACTAATGTTTAACAATTGAAAAGCTTCGCAGGAAAAAAAAATGAATCAAAATAAACAGAAATGAATAAAAAAAATAAATTATCGCAAATGTGATAGCACACAATAGCACACACAACAACATACTGAAATGTTCTGCGGTAAAATCCAATACTTGTCTGTTTTCTTTTATTATGGATATTTTACTGTTTAGAGGTACAAAATAGTAAGTTTTAGTAAGTATATAAACACACACACACACACACACACACACACTGCTAGAGTCTCCAGAATGGAAGCGAGAAAGTCCATGCCATCATTATTTGTGCTGCTTCGTCCTTTGGGGGGCATTAATCAGCTAACAAAACACGCTATGGGCAAACATGTTTCACCAGCAAGACATTTCATCAATTTAATGGTTCAACCAGCTCAAAGTCTCTAGTTCATTCTGTAATGACAACATTGAACCATGTTATTTTTTTTCCTCTCTTTTACAATATTTTCTCTTTAGAAATCCCATGATTATAAAAGACTGATATGTAAACGTGTAAACAATGATAACTCCTTGCATATGATCGATCGTCCTTTAGCCCCGATAACGCCGCTGACTTGCGACCACATAGTGGAAGAATCCAGAGTTTCCTGGATGATAAACTCTGGTGGGATGAGGACAGTGTGTCCCTGTGTGAGTCGACTCACTGGCTCTGCTTCTCAAACACAAGCCAAGAGACAGGAATGCTATTTATTAGTGTCCCACCACATCAAGGGGATGAGTGGGCATTACTCACCCTGAGAGTGTGTGACAGACATTAGCTGTTCTCTGTCCTTGCCAACTTTTTTTTAGCTGCAACTGTCCTTCCACTGATTCAAGGAAGACTAAGAGAAAGTGAGAAGAGCTAGGCAGAAAAAAACAGGGGCTTGAGACCTATTGCCACAGCAAGCCTTTGAGCTATCTGTTATGATATGATGATGTTGTGACAGTCGCTTGATGATATTATGGTCCACTGTTGTCTGAGGGGGAGCTCGGCAACACAAAAAAAGAATGAGGTGTAACACGTCCTGCAAGGAATTGCTCCATACTGTCTGCATGCAACAAAAATAAAAAGTTTTTTAAAATTAAATTCTTATATCACAACTTTCACACATTGTTTTTTTTTAAAAGAGACGCATGTAAACAGTCATGTGATATCAGTGTGGCAGAGCTCTAAGTGGAAAAACACAGCTACAGCACTGCAGTTGTGTTTAATAATAAGTATGTATATAATAGGCATATTTTTAATACATATGGGCTGACAGTCTGCCAGCTTGTGGCTCTTTTTTAACAGCAAACAGCACATCTGTGCATCTGCTCTCACACAGGAAGTCAAACCAGCTCACCCCCCTCACAAACCATCAGTTATCCATCTTTCCGAGGCCTGAGTGAAAAATCCTGATTTCTGACGCTTTAACATCTGACATTAGGCAGGCGACTGATGTCTGCTGAAAATGCTGCAGGAGCAAACAGGAACTGAGAATATGAAATGAGGACTGGGGAAGTTTGCTTTTTGCTTTTTTGCTGAGATTGTGTGACTGACATTAGCTGAGATTGTGAGATTTGTCAAACTGCACGTCATGTTGACACGAGCAGGGCGACATGCTATCAGTGGAAATGTCCTGTGGTGACGGCATCTAAAGAAACATCTCAGGTTTTTTTTGGTTAGTCTTTTGACACAGCTTCCAGCCTTGAAGATGGTTTATATTGCAATAACTTGGCTACTGTAGAAGTATACTGATATGGCTAAAAGATATACGGGGTCGAGAAAATAAAAGTTATAGTAAACAAATCCGAGCGTATCCTAAATATGGATTCATTTTCAAACTAAGTGGGAGCACTGCATCTAGTTTTAATGTTAAAACTCAAACCGTAGACACAGGATAAACTGATCAAATTTGCCTAATTGGGGAGGCTCAGGTGTATATTACTCCTTAAAGCATAACACTGCTGCATATTAGCTTTTACTAGGTATAAACTATTTCATTCTTATTGCATTTAAAGTTATTGTTGTCTTGTGAGGACAAAAACTAACCAGAAAATTGTCTAGGTTTGATTTCCTCGCCATTCGCGATGAGTGACCAGAGTCGGTGTGAGGAAATTCGGTCCACAAACGTAACAAAAGTCTCTCTGGGCTCCCATCGTCAGCTAACCGCCAATATACAAAATTCTCTACATGCTGCCATTCATTTCATCAAGAAGCTTGAAGAGTCAAATACAAACCCCAGCTGGGGGCTGGTTTGTCGAATGGCTTCCCACAGAGCTCCAGTCTTGCCCAGGCTGGAGAGAGGCGAAGACAGTGCGTGATGGGGTCTGAGATGAAACCCTGCTGCTTTGGTTAAATGGTGACCACATAGTCTCTCAGTTGTCAGGGATATCCGTTAATATAGACCCAAAATGTCATACACTCATTGTGGCTGACCATGCTGCAATAAGAGAATAATCGCTGTTTTCCGGAGGGTGATAGCTACCTGTGGTGAAAGGAGAATGGCAGGCAGAAAAATTCACTTTGGTGGGACTAAAAAGCGCTTTACAGGGCGTCCACAATTATCTAAAACACAAATTCAAACCATGGTTGTGGAATAAAAGCTAGGCACTCAACAGCGTTGATTTCTTCCCCTTTACATAGATACCTGTGGGTCTTTTGGATTTTTGGTCTTTACACTTTACACAAAGCCTGCTGCGATAAAAAGTGAGTTAAAATACAACGGGGAAATCGTTTGAAGTTGGGACGGTGCCATTCTGCGTTTTGTTCATTCCATTTTTAAAAAACTTTTTTGTCGCGCGCAACATTGCTTCAAAACAAATTTTAATTCAAACGGCAGCATGTACGATCTTCTGTGTTCTTGCGCTGAACATACGGTTTCTAAAATTATTCGCGCCGCACGTCAATATATGTCTTGCTTCAAATAAAAAAGTATCTCAACCTGCTGTGCTTTTGAAACCCCAGGAAAACGTCAATGAGCAAAATACAAAATGGTTGTCCACGGGAGACCGGCGGGTCAGCGCGTGTGTGTGTGCGTGCGAGTGCGTGGATCAGTGGAGACCCCCTACCTGGGCATCGCGCTTCCTCCACTCCTGGGTGTGCTGGTGGTGCTGTTGTAGGGCGGCCCTGGCCTGCCTCTCCAGGCTGCTCACCTCCCGCTGGTGCTCCTGGACCAGGCTGTCCTTTTCCGCGCTGTGCTGCTGCTGTAGCCGCGTCCTCTCCTGCTCGTGCTGCATGCGCTGCTCAGCCATCTGATTGGACAAGCAGGCAAAGAGAGACTTCATCAGCCAACACACACTCAGAGCAACCCTGTCGTCATGACAACTTGTCCATCCACCGATCCATCCATCCTTTCTTCGTCCTATTCCGTCAAACTCTCTTCCTCCACCCAAGAACCCCCGTGTGCCAAGCCAAATTTGGCGAAATTGGTAGGAAAGTGCGGGGAGGGGGGGAAAAAAGCGAGAAAAGTTTTGCCGCTTCCTCACGTCGTCAGAGGACAACATGATGTGATGTGTTTACATCTGGCTCGCTCCCCCCGCCCTCCCGCCTCTCCTGCCAATTGTACAGACTGGCCCTCCACGTCCCACTCCTCTTTCTTCAAATCTGTCCCCCTCGCCTTATTCTGGGATCGGCATATAAAAGAGCTGCGAGTTTGGGCTATGCAAGCAAGCTGGTAGGGGTTAGCCATCTGGCTGCAGCAACTACCCAATGCCCCATGCTATGCGCCTGACAGCATGTGAAAATCGGCTTAGGCAATGACTATGATGATTATTATAAACCCAAATTAGAAAAAAAAATGGAAAGAGAGGTGAAAGGAGAAGGTGCTAAACTATTCTTGGTACTGTATTATAATCTATGAATGAATTTAACTGCTAGAAAATGCGCATATTAATGAAAATCAATTCCATTTTCTCAAAATGTAAATGTCTATGCCACCAGAATGTAACTGAGGTTTATACTGCTAATGCAGTCAGCGTGTAGTAAGAACCTGCACCAACCATTCAATAAGAAGGCGTGGTTAGCAGTTAAAAACACCACAGCAAAGCCTTTAGTCTCAGCAGAGCTGCAATCACCTACACATAATACAGCAGAGCAAAATAAAACACTTCTAATGGGACGCAAAGCCCCAATTTTTCAGGGCTTAATCATCCTGTCAGCTGAACCAAGTCTGTATTCCATCTTGGCTGTAAGCGGAGTCACCTGCTGAGAGGTGAGCCTTGCCAGTGAAGCTCCCAGCCCCAAGCCCCCAAGCCTTTCCCAGGCTCCGTTCCGTTCCCACTCCCCCATGGCGGGGAGACAAGTGACCCCCACACCATCCCACCGTGCAGGCCCAGTCGGAGCCCTGAAAGGACAGCAGGGGCTTGGGGCCCATTTGCCTCCCTGCTTTGAAGCTAATCCCCAGCACATTGTGTATGACGGCACCCTACCTGGCCTGCCAGAGAAGCGGAGATCAACGGCCTCTGTGCCCGCTGCCTGCTCTATCCATGGTTATATCTTCCAAAGTTGCCTGCTATTCAGAGCAGGTGATGAATGAGGGGCTATCTACAGGAAGCCGGATTCCATCCCTGGCACTGAGACGAAGGCCACAATAGAAACTTGATTTAGACAGCCAAGAATGTATTCCTCTACTTTTGGGAGAACTTCAACTTCAACCTCAGCAAATAGCAATGAAAGGATCACTGAATAAAAATGGATTTTATCTCTGAGGCTTAGTTGATGGCATGGCAGAAGTAAACAATTACACACACCCTCAGGATAACCTCACACACATGCCATTTTTCAGAACAGATCAGGACAGCAGGCAGGCAAACACCACACGAAACAAGCGCAACATGTTTCACATGCTGCCGATGATGATGTCTACAGAAAATTCTAGTGACAACTTGCACCGCCTTCACCTCCTTTCCCATTTAACAAAATAACACATGCAAATCAGATCCACAGCTAGAATGCGTTGTCCCACACGAAGAGTCAGAATCATACAGCTGTACATTTTAGAGCTGAGGGATTGAGCAGCGCGCAGCTGCTTCAAGAACTCCCCAGCAGGTAAGAGAAAGTGGCGGAGGACGTCCTGACTTACTGTTCCTTTCTGCTCAGACTCTCGGCCCATGGGGGGAGGTTTGGAGGAAAGAGGGGATCTCGGGAGAAATTAGGATAAAGAATTGGGCAAGATGGTGGAAAAATCTTTTTAGAAAAGCACGGAGAGGAGATGACAGAGAGCAGACATAGCAAGGAGCCTGGCTGTGACATCACGTAGCGCCACTGTGGACTAGAGGATGCTGGATGCTGTGGTTCTTAAAGGGACCGGCATGGTGCTTATGAGGGAAGACTGAAACGGGTATGGCACAGCTGGGTGCCGTAGATACAGAGTGAGTCGGGTGTTACTGCACAGCACGACTCCCGTCAGCCTGGACTGACATGGTTGTGTATGTGTGTGAGCTGCATGTCTTGAAGCAGGACAGTGAGGTAATAGGCTTCTTTCAACCCTGGGGAGGGAAATCTGAAAATGTTTGGAAAGGCGGAGGGGAGAGGAGGGAGGAAAGCAGAGTAGAACAGAAGGCCTGTCTGGTCTCAGCAGGGGAGAATGGGGTGCATGAAGGCGGGTGGAGAGAGACTGAGGAACAGGAAAAAAAAAAGACACCTTCAATCTCACTAGAGGTTTGTACTGCAACTGGCCACTCTATTTATTGCTGATATATGTGTTCAATATACGTATCGTCTTGTACATCTACATGTAATTTTGCCTCTGCACACAGAGGATTTTAAATTGACCATTTAAGATGTGACTCAAGTGCAGACTTTCACTTAAATCAAAGAGTTCAACAAAATTATCGCATTCACAGCCATTTTTATATGTTTTCCTTTCTTATTATACGACAAATCAAGCAGGTGGAATTGAACTTGGATTCGGTAGCTGTTCACCGATTCTGAATGACAAAGGTCATGGTTAGGGTTAGGCTGAAAGCCCCCAGAAAAGCTCCAGAGAGATCGCAAAAACTTGCAGAAGTGGCCAAATCAGCAATCAGGTAGAAATAAGGAATGCGCTGCCCAGCTCAGCATCACCAAAAGAATTAAAAGACCATAGAAGACAATTAAAGTGGATGATTGTAGAATTCTCTCTTTGGTGAAGAAAAACCTTTCACAATGTCACCCCATATCAGGAACAGACTTGAAAAGCTATGTGTATTATTGTCAAAGTCTACAGCCAAGAACTTACAAAAAGGTGCAACCCACTCATTACACTCAAGAACAAGACGGCTAGATTAGAGTTAGCAAGAAAAAAAATGTAAGACTCCGGATAGTTCTGGAAAAAAAAAAATGGATACAATTTGGGCAAGATCAACATGTACCAGAATGAAGGTACGAGAAACAAATGTAGAAGAAGAGAAAAAGCTCATGATCTAAAACATACACATCATCTATCAAAGATGGTGGAGGAAGTGTCGTAGCATAGGCATGTACGGCCGAGCTAGAACTAGCAGGCATGTATGACCAAGTATAACCATGCATATTCATGTATGGCAGTGTAACTACGTCACTAGTGTTTATTGGTCATATGTCTGCTGATAGAAGTAGCAAGATGACATGGATGACGAACCAAAGTATACTGCAAAAGCAACCACAGAGGTCCTGTTCTTCAATGGCCAAGTCATTTACCTGATCTCAACCCAAAAGAGCTATTTTTCTGTTGTTGAAAATGAAACTGAATGTAGAGAGACCCACACACAAGCAGCATCTAATAACAGCTGCAGTAAAGGCCTATCAGGGGACCGCAAGAGAGGTTAGTGATGTTCATGGGTTTAAGACTTTAGGCAATCACTGACCGCAAAGGATTTTCATTTCATTTCAGTTTTAAAAACAATTTTTGTATTAAAAATTATCCTAGTTTGTGAAATGGAGAACTGATTATTACATAAAAGACCGAAATTCCTGAACAGCTAATGTAATACTTTTATTATTATTTTATCACTGGCTAGAAAAAACATTTTTGCTCCCAAATAAACTTTGATAAGTGTTTTTTTCCCTCCTGTATGATATACTTTTACCAAATTCTTGCAGCTACACATTCTCCCATAGATCTCAACATATTCACTGACACCAATATCACTGGTCGACTTGTACAATAAACCAGCCTGCTTTAGTATTTATTGTTCCAACCTAACATCTGAAGAAAGAGGCCGGTTGTGTATTTAAACTCTCAAGGTCGCGATGAGCCGTTTAATCTTGATACGTCTCCCAGACTGTAAGAGGAAGAGCTCTGTCAGAAACCACGATGTCTGATTGCCTTGGGGGTCAAGTGGAAAACAACTCCTTCGCACACAGATCCCCCCCCGAAGCTGCACTTGAGGGAGTGTTCTTTTGTGAACATCTGAATGAACTACCTTGACCCCAGAAATCTTGTGACACCAGCTTTTCTAGAGTGAAAACACAATGTACTCTCACACAGACACGAGAGAAAGGAAACAAGTAAAGAATGTGGAGTTGCTTCAAAACAATATGTAACGCATGTCTAACATTAAGCGGCTGGTCACAGAGTAGCTCATGAATAATAACATGCCTAGGTGTAAAAACACCCCCCCTCCAAACTCTTTGTAGCAAATCTCAGCTCTCATATCAAAATCATAACAGAGACAGGTCCATTGTTTTCATGTATGTTTTATCTTTAAGACAAAAGCCTTTCTGATGTGCCGCTAACCCTATGTGGCTGTCTTCAACTGTCAACTGCACCCCCACTCAGCGTGGCAGTGGCTGATAATCGTCACTTCAATATTTCCTGCAAACCTTTGATCGTTTACCCGTTAGTTATGACTTCTCAGAACAATACGCTGTAGCTGGCATTCAAAACACTGATAAATCTTTGCATTTACTGGATGGTTACATGGGGATGACAGTGTCTTTTAGATGCAAATGCAATCTGTTTAATGGTTTAACCAGCAGTGTCTATTTATATGACGATTTATCGTTGCAGCAGCCAGTGAAGCGCTTTATGTCCCGGCCCTTTCTTCAGTTTCCGGGGATGTTTTGAAAAATATTTCAACACACTGTAGTCTTTATATTTAAGTGGTTTTAAAATATGCTATTTTTTAACATTTTATTTTATAAATGCCATTCTAATTACAAACCCAACTGTTCAGCCATGGAGCAAATCGATAATGAAGCACAGTTTCTCCATTCCTTAGATATAAGACTGGCCTCATATCCCCCCCATTTACAGCGATCTACAGCAAATTACACGCAACGTAAACTCCATCTGGCCTGGAAATGAGTGTAAGCATGCTTATTAACACAAAGGTTGAGTGCTATTTGGTGCCTGGAAAGCAATCATGTTGTGGATATAGATGGGGAAAAAAAGAGATGTCACAGCCGTTAGTAATATCCACGCCCAAAACAAGCGTGGTGTCACATGGTCATAAAGTCTCGTATGGAGTAATTTAGATAGTTTATTTTTTATTTGGTATATAAATACTGTTTACATTTGTTACAGTAACAGAAATAAAAGTGACGCTCTCTGCCTCCTACAGTAAGATCAGCCGCCAACACTAATATCGGCTCCTGCGGTTTAATTGAATCTGCTGCGTCTCTATCAGCGAGCCAGATTTCAAATGGGTTGTGAAAATGGTTTCTCGACTCTTAATTGAAGAAGAGTGAGTGAGATGGGGTGATAAGCGAGCTACACATCTTCTATGCAGATTGCGTTACTTTTCAATTGGCCACGTTTAAGATATTTATTGAGCCGGAATCTAAGCTTAATCTAAAACATGCCCCTTATCATGAGAAATTAATCAGACGGAACAGATGGGGAGGAATAACAAGACTGCTCCAAATGGATGTCAGTCGCCCGTTAGCTGTCTCCAATAGACCGAGTGCTCGCTGATAATAGAGTGAAGATAACACGATGATGGCGATGACGGAGATGAGCACAGAAGTCAAGAACAATTGCACAGTGAGTTAGAAACTCACAGACCTGCTGCTCGAACTTCTGTCTGAGGTCGTCGAGTTGCTGCGAGAACTCTTTGGCCTGCTTCTCCCTGAGGGACCTGGAGCGCTTCAGGTCCTCCTCTACCTTCTCCATCTGAAGGCATCAGAAGAATCCAGCACATAAGTTCATTAATTAGTACACAAGCATAAGGCTGGTCATATACATATATGTATATTTAGAAATATCTCTGCAGAATCGCAAGTACAGTAAATCTCATACACCAAACTACCAGAATAACACCTGGGATCTGCAGGAAAGTGAGGCTCCGGGAATATTTGTCTTTTAATTGGAGATTAATGAAGTGCCACTGAGAAAGAACACAATGAATTCCTGTGATGATGCTGGAATGACGCAGCATGCTGATATATAAATCTACTCAAACTGAAATCTAAATAATTTGCACTGTTACGCAAGCAGTTCACATAAAAATTTATAAGCCTTTGTCTTTGTGTTTTCGTGGAAAAAGGGATTCCGCAGTATTTACCCTATACTCTACTTCCCCGCACTCTACCTTTTTCAGATTTTCCTGTTCAGGTGACGGTAATCAGCAACAATTGGAAATGCAATTTACTCAAACGCCTCTGTATTTGGGCTACGCTGTGTGTAACGCTCAGGAAATGCTAAATGTGTTTTGATTAATCCATTTAAAATGCCGAAGCCTCCTTTGAACTATGCGCGCAACAGAGATTTGATTCTGCGTGGTGCTTCTTCTTCTTCTTTTTTTTTTTTAAAAATCAAAATAGGGCAGACTCTTTCCTTTAAAGTGAGCTCTAAAAGTGAGATGCTGATTTTAAAACGAGAGACAGACAGAGAGAGGAAGGGGGTGATACAGATAATCCATTAGATATAACTCTATCTGCAGACAGAGAAAGAGAGAGAAGATGACGAGAGGATGGATGGGTGATGGAAGGAAGGAAGGAAGGGGGGGGGGGGAGAGGAGAGTAAAAACTTCTTTTGAAGTTCTTTCTGCAACATTAAAGCCTTAGCCGGAGAACGTGATGCAGCGATGAACAAGTGGGGTGGGGAGGAAAAGAAGAGGAAAGAGGGGGGGTGAGGATGACAGAGATGCAGGAGAGACTGCTCCCCTCTCCCATGGCTTTGATGTGGGCTGAGGATAAAGTCAGATTGGAGATCAGGATGCCAAGGGGGGGCTCAATGGGAAAAGAAAGAATGAGCAACAGGATGGAAGGATGAGAACATCAGAAAAGAGCAGCAGGATGAAGTGGCGCACCGATATAGACATTTTCCAAGGCATCGCTCGCCACACATGTGGCCTTGAATTCAAGTAGCAAGAACAAGAAAGAAAGAAGGCAAACAAAAGTTCTGTCTTCCTGTGCAAATATTTAAAAATATTCAGTGTTGTGGCACCGATCCAAAAGAGTCTACTCGCAATAACGCAAAAACTTCAAGAAAGTCCCAGCTTCGACAACACCTGAATATGCTTTATTACTTGAATGGGATCTTCTTCCTTTTTTCTGCTCAGATGCATCAGATGCAAGCAGCACACTTTCTTTCTTCTTCTTCTTCTTCGCTTTTTGAAATACAAGAGGGTATTTTAAATTCAGGCTTGGGAAATAACGTTTAGTTTGTTTGCCCACAAATATCCAAAACTCCCACTCAACATAATAATGATTAGCCATTTAAAATACATAAATAAAAATAACCAGCAACTAAAACTTAATAATCTCTCCAGCATTGGGCCCTTTAAAACATTTAGGACCACACTCGGTGCAGCCTGGTCAATACTGCACACACGCAGTATAGCCAGAAATGCTTGACAAAAGCGCCTATAGCTAAACTGACTAGTAAAACAGCATCAGAAGTTTTCGAGCCGAGTGCGTATCGATCGGAAGTCTCTCCCAATAAGCAGCAGCCCACGCAGCGAGGCAGCGCTGATCGCGAGGCAGGCCCGACGTACTAATTAGTCTGCTTGCTTAATGCGGCGACCTGCTCTCCTCTGGAACCTGACCAGCCTACGTCACGCCCACTGACAAGAAGAGAGTTCACTGTGCGATAGCGGTGAAGTGAATACACCTGCTTAATGAGCGGGATTACAAATAATTACATTCATCTGGAATGACTGGATGGCTCAAAAAAGGGCCTGAGGGTGATAATGTTCTTGGCTCTTGCATATAGATTTTTCAGTGTAAGAGCAAAGGTGCTGGAAAAATGATGCCTTGCAGAATATGTTCTCTGTGGTTAGGCTGAAAAAATATAAAGAGCGTGTGTGTGTGTGCCCATTGTTCTGGTTATTGCCAAGCAGGCAGCTCACTCCGCTTGCGGTACAGCAAACCTGACACAGGGTTACAGTTAAAGTGTGTGTGCATGTGTAAACACTAATCTGTTCTGGCACACAACAGGAAACACAAACATTGCACAAGAGGAATGTGCAGTCCTCGCATGAATATGGATGCATTCGTGTAACAGAAAACAGGTGTGCGTGGATGCCAGCCCGTGTTCGCTCGCATGCATTGTGATTACGGCGCGCGCTGATGTGCGTTATCGGACCTGCAGTTTCATGTCAGCGTAGGCCTTCTCAGAGCTGAGCTCCACCTGTTTCTTGAACTGCTCCAGCGCCATATCTGCCTGCTGGATGTGCTGTCTTTGGCTCTCCCTTGCTCTGTCCAGCTGGCTCTCCTTCTCCCTTCAAACCAAACACACACAAATGAACACACACTACATAGCCATAGAAACACAATTGCAGACAAGAAATCCAGAAATAGTTAAGAAAGAAAGTAAACTTTTATTTTTGTAGAACTTCTCAAAACAGTAGTTTCATAGTAAAAGACAGAGAACGAAGATAGACTTAGAAGCAGAAAATCATCACTGTTCTTTTTGCATACACACTATCAGGTTTGGTTGACCCTTTAAAACCTGAGCTGTGAAATAATTGCCATATTATTTTGCAAAATTCTAACTTTTTGAAAATAGAGTATTTATGGAACCTGAGGACAAATTAACAAACGATTAAATAATGACATATTAATTTGCATATATGAGTTTTAATTTGCTACAGCTGACAATTTTTGCAATTTAATGATTATAAATGTATTGTGAAGTTTATTTAGGTTCACTGATAATATAGAAGTTTTAAAAACTCAGCAACACTCATGTATCAAACACGATAGACTGAGCTTTAATGTGGTGCTTTCTCTCGACATCAAAGAGTGAAATATTCAACAAACAACATGTTGAACGATGTGTGAAGACTTTCCATGATCCTTCATTATCGTTCACCCTGTTTTAAATTAAAATAAGTCACTTTGTGCATGCGGTATAGCCTCGCTCATTGGAATGCGTGGCTGTATCTCCCAGGCAGGCGTGCCGATGCTACTGCCGGTAAATATCAGGTCACAGTCTTCCAAGAGCACAGGGACTGACAGGCACACTGAGAGGGATGGCCTCATACTGAGAACTGTCAGAGCCCAGCCAACAGGCCCAGCCGCAACATCATATACAATGTAGCTGTCAAGCTTAACGCACAGAAGGTAGGTGGGGAAGGGAGTGTGTCTGGGCGGAGGGATACAGAGTAGAAAAAAATGACAGTGCTAGAAGCCAGAGAAGTGTGTGAAGGTGTTATTTTTGTAAACAGCTTTTAAATTTCTGTCCATCCATCCACTACACCTGCTTATGCGGGAGGGTAGAGCTGGGCAGGAGACACGTGACACCACGAACAGGCTGTCAGTCAATCACGAAACTGACACCAGACAACGTTGCTGCTGACATTCAAACCTGGAGATGCAAATGAACCGAAATATTTTTGGAGCCAGGCTAAACTTCTTGCTCTAAATTTGCACGTCTTTGCATATTTTTTGGTTTATTAACTGATTTTTAAAAAAAAACTGAAATAAAGGCAGACATAAGAAAATACACAGCTATATGAAAAATATTAAAAACTAAAAAATTACTAAAGAATTAAAAATAAATATACAACAGACTAGTTGACACACGTTTGCTATTATTATATGATTCTATACTCAATATTGTGATGACAAAACTCTGTTGTCACCAATGACTTCGACTCAGACTTGACTGTGAAAAATAATGCGCAAAAGCACGCACATCTGTTCTGCCACCTCCAAGTGTTTGTCACATGATACCCACAGTAGATTTCGAAGTGTTGGAATTTGGCAGATTCACTCATCTCTTGCATGACACTTCTTGATGAAACCATGTTGACAAAATCCAACCAAAAAAACCCCCACAAACCTGGAAAATATTATCCCCTTACACTCGTATAACGTTCGTATTTTAATGACGCCACACGTGCTCCTCACATGTGTGGCGTGCACGAATATAGTCTGAATAAACAACTTAAGAATTGCGCACCCAGGTTTAAAAACACCAAAAAACAGATCATAATAATTTAACGACAGCATCTGTTATCCATGTACAGTGCATAAATGGGACTTTGCTAAAAACAGAATTGCGTGAATTGATTTAATTTTCACAAAAAGTAACACTAAATGTGCAACTACAACAACGGGTACATGGACTGCAGCCACTATTTCAACCCTTCAAGATGCTTCATCTGATTCAAGCACAAAGAGCACGATATCAGGGGGGACAGTATGACTGACTGTGCACTTTTTCCTCTTTACAGTGTGCCTTATGCAGTGCTTTGAGTATAAGTGAATGTGTGGCTGTGTTTTTCTGCTCCCTTGTAAATTGCTACTCTAAGAGGGTATGGATAATTATTCCCTCTGGACAGACAAGCAGCAGCGAGAATGAAATTCTGGCCAGTGGGACTTTAAACCAATTAGAAGTACAACTATTACTAAATTACAACAGGCACACATCGGGTGGTGGTGGTAGGGGGAGGCACTATGCAGGAAGGCTGTCAAAAGCAGCATGATTATGAGCATCCATGCACAACTTAAAAAATAAATTAAATGAAAAATTGGAAGTACATCTAAAGAAAGGCATATAGTGGTTTGCAGCTTTGTAAAGTGGTTAATCTCTTCCTGTAATCAAAGAAACAACTTTAGGTGTTTATAAAGACAGAACTGAAACTGAGGCGATAAACCCCCCCCAGCAAAAACAGAGGAGGCAATAAAATAAAAAAAATTAAAAAAAAAACAAAACAGCAGAGAACAAAAGCAGAGGATTGAGAAAGGAATGTGCAAGCTTTCTCTCCTCTTTATAGAGTTCTGTCTCTTTGTAATTTTGGTTTCTCTCATGTTGGACATCAAACGACAAAGTGTTTTTTTTTTTTGCCTCTTTCCCAATTTTGTGTACTCTGTAATTATTAATCAGTCTCGTTGCACGACTGCCTTCCGGACTCAGACAGACACAAAGGATATGTGGGGAGACTGAGATGGAAAAAAGAGAAGAAAAAAAAAGAGGAAAAGAGAGAGGAAGATGGAAAAATGGATGTCACAGAAATAGCAAGTTTTTTTTAAAACTTCCAAGAGGAGAGCGTAGAGAGAGAGAGAGGGAGAAAAGAATTGGGTGTGTGTCTCGCTTGAGAGACAACTGAGCCTGCGTGTGCGTGCGCGCTCACGTGCGTGTACAGAGGCCTTTGTTCATGAGCCACAATCCCAAACTCTCTGTGTGACTGACAACTCTACTCAAGGAGTGCACTATGAGTAAGTTGGAGCTGGCTGCTGGGCCTATACCTCAGAGAATACACAGGAAGAAAAAAAAGTGACTGCAGCTAACTTCAAGTATGTGACAGATTGAAACATATTATGCTCTTAAACTGAGGAGAGCAGGTGAACGCTTGGCCTCTTTGGGGAATCTCGGGAGCATAACTGTGTGTGTGTGTGTGTGTGTGTGTGTGTGTGTGTGTGTGTGTGTGTGTGTGTGTGTG